TATCTCTACGCATATTCTGGAATTGGGTATTAAGTGCTGCCACCCGTTGAGCCAATTGACCTAAATTGTCAAGTTCTTGCCCAAGCAACTTTTCTCTCCATGTCGGCAATATTCCTTGAACGGCCAACGTAGCTAGTTGATCATCAGTCAAATTCAACGAAAAGCATAAGTTTCTTGTTTCTCGGAACCTCTGGAGGAACTCAGCACCCGATTCATTAGCTCTTTGCTTTATAGTTATCAAATTTATGATATTTCTTTCCCCTGTCTCAATGTAGAAATATGTATGAAATTTCTTTTCAAGATCACTCTAATTGGTAATAGAATTAACCGCTAGTGATGAAAACCAAGTGAAAGCTGGTCCTGACAGGGACAAAGGAAAGAAACGAACTCGATGTGCTTCCTCAATAGAGGCTTCACCCAACTGAGTAAGATATTGACTGACATGTTCTATTGTACTTGTGCTATATTGAACAGTGAACTTAGCAAATTCTGGAAGCCTATAATTCGTAGGAAGGGCCACTAAATCATACCATTCTGCATATGGACGTTTGTACGAAAATGTCTGCCCTTTTGGTTTTAAATCAAACTGATTTTTCATCATTTCAGTTACTCTGAGCAACAATTCATCAGCATTTGAGTTTGAATTTCTTGGCAATTGCTGACCCATCTGCAGATTGAAATTCTGAGTGCCTTGATATCCTAGATTTGGAATCATATTGAGAGTATTATAATCTAAACCATAATGATATTCTTGTGGAATATCTATCTGTCGAGCCCTTGCTGATTTACTGTTTGAAATCTATTATTGAAAACGTTATGATCTATATCTCTACGAATCCTTTGAACCGATGGTGCTATTTTTTGAGCCGACGGTGGTTTTTGGCCTGATGTACCAAAATTAATCATCTGATTCTGAACTTGCCCTGTTAGCTGTTGCACATGATGCACTGATGATCTAGGATTATATTGCATTTGATTAATAGTAGCACCTTGAATTTGCTCAGATGAATTCTGAATTACTTGGGCATCATCACTCTTACCTAGTGCTACTTTTTGATGGCTAGTACCGGATTGATTAGTCATATGAGTCAACAGATGTGGAATATTGTAATAAGCCGGTCTGACCTAATCAAGTGGAAATCCATGAAACATCTCCTTCATGGTATTATAGAATGTATTCAAGAAAGTTGTATTATGATTCAGCATTGCATTGTGAACAGATTTGTTGATAGCTTCAATAAAGAAACGTCTATCATCAGCTTCGTCTGTATCTGACTGTTCATGCATTAAAACTCTCGGCAATGGATATTTCTGAATAACTTTATTGTCACGTATTTTGGTGTATGACAACAAGCACTTGTTCTGAAACTCCTCTATAGCTTTACCAATGACATCTTTATCCTCAGTAGACAAGTTTTCATAAGGTACCATAAGAATGTCCTTATTGTTGTGAACTGCCATGACGATTGTGGTCCCATTGGGCGTGCCAAAAAGTGTGTTGACAAAAAAATATGGCGATCTGATCAACACACAGCAAGTCAGAAGATCTGAGTGGAACGAGACCAGAGATCTACTTGGCTTCAACACAGAACCAGCCGATTCTGAAAACCCAACGACGTGCCAGTCAATTTGACCTACAATTGACAAGGAGAGAAAATCTTATCAGTAATTTAAGGTGGAACATGTCGGTGTTGCACAAAATAGTTCCAAATGTATGGCTACATAGCCGATTCAATGAGGCTATCGACTAAATAGTCGATATCCAGCGTATCCATGAAATAAAGATCTTAAAATGAAGGATTATTGACTAATATTAAATGATAATGATAGGAATCAAAATAACCGATGCTCATGGAACATCAGAAAAGCATCATTGGCTAAATGGAACATGATCGATATAAGACGTTGAGCCGATAAGTTTGATGACAAGAGTATAACAGCGAACAAATTGACTGTCTAATATAAATGAATCTACAAACAGTTTTGAGTATAATCTATTATCATCAACAGTGAGGTTCGATCGGATCGATGTAGCTATGATAATGATAATAAACTAAAGCCAAAGAATATATAAAACTATCTATATGTTGACAGATTCATGAAAACATGCTATATGCGTGAGAGTATAGGCAAATCGGCTAAAATAGCCGATGCATTCATAGCAAACAAACAGAGTACATATCTTGATCATGAACAAGATCACTAATCGATAATTTCTAATTTAAAGTCTTACCAGTGAGGTTCGACCGAATCGATATAGCTATGGTAGTGTCATGAGATTAGATCTCATTAACTAGTGAGTTTATTTAAGATTGAAACATGTCTTTGAATGCATACTATGTTTCACTGGAATAGAGATAAAACAGCCGATCTAGCGGAATTAAGCCATCAATTATATGATTTAAAGCATGACCAGATCAAAGGATGACCAATTAAGTTGATATGATGTCAATCTATCTCTATCTCAATCTGGTGATTTTGTTATAATTAATAAAACATTAATTATAGCAAGATAGATAACTGGTGAATCAACTAAAGACAGTAAGAAAAATCTTACTAATCTTAGCAGATTCAATAATTGGTGATATTGTATTAAACAACAAGTTATTTAACACAAGATCGATAACTTTGATCTATATTATGATTCGTAAGAGATCAATCAGCTGATGCAGCCTTACAAATTATGATACAGATCGATAACTAACTTGTATTATAGCTCATAAAAGATCAATCAGCTGATGCAGCTTTATAAGTACAATACAAGTCATGATGTTACCTACAAGCAAGCTGAAGGTCGATCAGTCGATGCAGTCCTGTTTGTTGAAGAACTCGATGAGATCTACAATACTCCTACTTCTAATACGGTGGTGAAAGCCGTAAAGATTGTATTGATTGAATGTTTGTCTTTTTTATAATAACCAGGGTTTAATATTTATACCCGGAACCTAAACATAAATCCTACTCAAATACGACTCGTTACAATTCTTAGAATAAAAGAAAACTTCCTAACTTAATAATAACCTAGACCCTAATTTTTCTTATTTGTAGAGTCCGACACATCTTCCTGCCACCACTCAAGCATAGCCCAATGACGCCGGCTGCTGACGTCATCCATAAAATAGCTGATTCTGACATTACATCTAAATCAGCTGATACCGATTCACATCTAATCGATTCCTTGATGACATAATTCTGGAAGCTTCGAGTTTCCGCGTTTTTCTTCTCAAATTTTGGTGTAAACACCAGGGGTTCCTCGTTCATTTATATTATACTCTTACTTGCTAGTGGACCTTAGATTAGGCCAATATTAACACAGACAGGCTTTGTAGTGTGCCCACCTTGGAAAATTTAATTTACCGAGGCGGGTAACCTTAAATGCCCGCCGATTAACTGAGGCGGTTGTTTTAAGGCGACCGCCTCGGTTAATATATTAACCGAGGCGGTTGCGTAGTTAATATACATTAACCGAGGCGGTTTTCTTACATTGCCCTCCTCGGTTAAGTGTTAACCGAGGTGGTTGCTGGTCCGGCTGCCCTACCTCGAATAACCGAGGTGGGCAACCAGGCTGCCCGCCTCGGAGCCCCAAGTGGAAACGTTGTCCAAAAGATTTTCTGTAGTAGTGTGTTCATTTTGTTGGAAAAATTTTGAAAATTCTTTTGTTGGACAATTTGGCACACAAAAAGTGATTTTGTGTTAAATAATGGCCATACAAGAATTTTTTTGTAGGTTTTATCCAGGGACGCACTAGCTTTAGTTTTAGCCTCTATTGTAGCACACTATGGAGAAGGAATATTTGGTTAGGACGTGCCAACTTCTAGAGTCAAAGTTATGTAAATTTTCACGTTCCATGGATGTCCGTTTTGGTTTTGCATTGGCCTGTAATGTTAGACACTTTTAGCATTTTGATTTTGAATCATTTTTAGAGAATTGCTAGATATCAACTGGTTGTTTTGGGAGCATCTGGCAACTGAATTTTGGGCCGTTAGATCTGGCACGTGGCGTGCTTTGGGCTGTCCGATTTCGCGCTCTCTCTCTAGCTCCCGATGTTTCTATGGCTCGCGCTCCCTTCGCCGCCTCCGCTCTGGCTCCCGATTTCTTCCGCTGCTGCCCCCCGGCATCGCCTCCCTCCGCCGCCGCCCCCAGGCACATGCCGTTGCTCCGTCCGTCCGCCGCCCCCCGACACGGGCGTGGGCATCCCCGGCACGGCCATCCTCGGCGCGAGCGCGGGCATGGCTCCCCTAGCTGCAATCTATAGAATTTGTATTTTTTTAAATTTGTGAATAATTTGTGAACAATTTGATGGCATTTGTGAACAATTTGACATATATTTCTCTGATATCTGGAATTCATAGAAATATTTGTATTTTTTAAAAAAAATTGGCATATATTAGTGTTATCCCAAATTATATCACTCCGTACAATAAATTACGCTGATAGTTTCATTGTAAATATGGTAATAAGACATCGTAAATATAGCTAAAAGATAGTATAAATACATGAGCAAAATTCAGTTGGTAAGAGGGGCTAAAACATTTGAATGTCATCCCATTTTTATAATAGCCGTGGTAGATTTGAAGCCAGGACTAATCTATTTTACATCTTAAAAAAGCAAAGCTACCTATTTTTAAAAAATCACCTAAGACACGAAAAGAACCTGACGCTATGATTTCTCAGCTCACAGTGACCTGTCCCTTGCCGCTAAAAAACAAGGTCCCCTAAAACCAAGTAGTGAGCAGTAAAGTCCCCAGGCCTTGATTTAAAACATTGGCCTAAATCAAGTACTCCTAAGCAAGTAAGCAGTAAAGTCCCCAGGCCTAAATCAAGTCCGAAACCCAGCCCGGCCCACACACGCTCAGCCTGATCCCCTGTTCCCTCGCCACGGTGCCTCTTACCTGCCATGCCATCCGACCAAACCTGGCTGCCGTCCCAAAACCCTAGTAGATCAAGCATCCGTAGCAGGAGCAGAGCAGGAGAATACGCAGTCCTCCGCGTCGTCGAAGATGAGCGACGACGTGGTATGGCACTGCATCCGCCACGGCCACTGCAGCTTCAGGGCCAAGTATATAACGCCGGCGACCGCCGTATCTTGTCGTGTACTTTTGGGGTGGTGTTTCTTGTGACGGTAAAGCGGTTTTCGCAGGATCGAAACGGGCATCTTCTGCCGGAGCCCCTACAACGCTACGGGCATCTGCAACCGGAGTTCATGCCCCCTCGCCAACAGCCGCTATGCCACCATACGCGATCACGATGGTGAGCCACCGAATTCACCCTCCCCTGTTTTGTTGTCGCCTCCTGTTAAGCTCTTGATCCTTCGAATGGGAAGCTATGCGTGGTTATAATCTGAATCTTTTGGTGATATTGTTATTCTTCTTTCCTTTTACTGGCATGCAGTTATTTTTTACTTGTACATGAAAACTGCTGAAAGAGCTCATCTACCAACTAAACTGTGGGAGAGCGTTAAATTGCCAAGGAACTACGAGAAAGCAATAGAAGTTATCAACAAGCATCTTGTGTGTATCTCTTTCTGTTGTACATCGAATGAAAATTCCAAGTGAAAAGTCTTACAAGCCTTGATAGCACGTCTTTGTTTCTTCGTTTAGGAATTTTGGCCAAAGTTACTTGTGCATAAAATCAAGCAGCGCCTAACAAAAATGACTCAGTATCGAATAAGAATGAGGAAACTTCATCTGAAAGTGAGGTAGGCACGTATGCTACTGATTTCACAGCATGTTAGCTTCTAATAGTTTATTTTCCTTCTTCTGAATATGATAGGATAATGTGAAGGGGGTATGAATGGCACAACATTACATTGTTGTATAAAAACTTAGTTGTTACCTCTCTGAGACATGGAAAATTGCTAACCATATTCATCCGCTCTTTTAGGGAGAAGTTAATGACTGTACCCAGGAAAAAGACTAAGATTGATATCAACAAAGAGATGAAAGCTGAGATAGCTGCACAAATTGATAAGGTCATTTTCTGACCTTTATCACGTTTTTTTCATTATCCATCGTCAAATTCTAACATATGCCCACCTGCCATCATGCAGTGTATTCAAACTGAATTACTCGAACGTCTGAAGAATGGTTGCTACAGTAAAATACACAGCTATCCCTTCGATGATTTTGATAATATTGTGAAACTAGATGAAGATCATGATGTTCATGTCTTAGAGGACGAAGAGGTAAGGATTGTAGTTACAATCTCACTTTGATGTGTTCTCAATGTTCACGGGCCTTGTGATTTATTGTGAGCTTACTCCGTCAATGCAGGAAAATAAGATAGAGTACATTGAAGCTGATGAGATCGAAACGGAGATGGATGACATGGAGGACTTTGAAGGCCTTCTTAAAGGTGAAGATTCTTCGATCTCCTATGTTCTTGGTCCAGTAGTTGCTGTGAAGAAACTTCATGTAACTCGAATACTCAATTCTAGTAATCACCTAGGACTGCTAAATTAAAATATGTTGTCAGATATGGGCTTTTAGGCCAAAAGCGGTACTTTAACATTAGGAATAAGTTCTTCCTTTTTGCAGGTAATATTAGGACAATTTTCTTTTATATCACTATTTGATGTGTACTTTTCATCTATACCGTCAGCTTGGAATAATGAAAGTTGCCCCTCAAGGGGTGGTATAGATGGAAACTCCCCTTAATGTTATTTATTTTAAATGTTTGAAAATAATTGCAGGTTACACAGATACAGATCTTGATCATCTTGTAGACGAGCAAGTAGCAAAGAAACAAAAGAGAGCACAGATTGGGAGAAGGTCTACGAAGGTTATGAGTGAGGTAAAACATATAACATTAATCTGAATATTTGACTATATGTCAGGGAACTTTCAGTTTCCATAATAACCATTCTTGATGACCAAAATGCAAAGTAAAATTCCACAGCTTTTTTTTTAATATACGTATCCATTTTATAGTAAACGAATTGGAAGTAGAAAAGTATATTATTCCAGATGCTGTCTCTGTTTTTTCAACTCCCTCAACCCCAAAAGTTCCCTGAATGATTTCGCTGGGGAACTTGCGCAAAAGTATGCACTGAGGGTGAGGAGGACTAAACTGCTGTAGGAAATTTATCTTAAGCTAGCTAGTTTTTTTGGGGTTTCTCTCAGTTCCCTGTTCATTATAAATAAATCGTTTTCCCCCTTTCTGGAACAGTTGGAACATGATGAAGAGGACACGAATTGCAAACAAAGGACGCTATTGTGAATTCAGCAACCACGACCTTTCGATTACTTGTTTGGTGTAGATCTCCATCCTAGTTGTAGTTTAGATCATCTCTTTATTTTTCTCTTGACGACTGTGCTGAAAATTAATCCAAATTTGGGATCAACACACGAAATCTTGGTTAGAACACTATCTGACCCAGTTACCCAGACCAGGGTTCCTTCTTGATAAATGTGCGTTCTTATGCAGTGACCTTGTAGTATTGACGTGGAAAATTATTGGAACTCTAGAAAGATGGGCAGTTGTGAATCAGGCAAATATTTGTGCCCGCGTGCACGTAGCCGAGTGGTGGTAGGAGATGCTTTCTTGTGAATATGGTAGAAATTCTGTATAAGCAGCACCAACTGCGCACGTCGAAGGCATTCCTAGATTTGTTTTAGGTCCCGTTTTGATCCATACATTCTAATAATTATAATTTGAGCATAGATTAATTAAACTAATATGGCTATATATAGAATATATTTATATATTATTGTTAGCCATACAAGGGAGATACTTATATATTGCATTTCTACTATAGGGAAGCGAGTTGAAGAGCGTGTTATAAGTTGCAGAGTAGAAACATAGCATGATGACCTATAGAATTGAAACAGTTGAATCACGTGATAACTCACTCCGATCTGTGCTGAAATTATCAATGTTACATATGTAACCATCTATAGCAATTGAAATTCAGTTGAATCACTTATTAAAAAGGACGTACCCAGTGCAGAGAGCTCTCGCTCTTTGAGGGGTCTAGGGAAGAGTGTCAGTGGCAAGCCTTATCCTCGCCTGTGCAATACGGGGAGACCGCGACTCGAATCGAGGACCTTCCGGTCACAGGCGGTAAGACTCTACCGCTTGCACCAGGCCCGCCCTTCCAGTTGGATCACTTATTAAAATTGGAAAATTATTCAGAACTAATGATGCTACTTGAGAAAATCCTGTGATTGCTACATGTGAAAATCGTGCTTACATACTGGGTTCTTGATCATACATCGTAGGGTTCATCTACTCTAGGTTTCTCTGCAAGTTTCATCAAGGCTAGTTCTTTTTTTAGAGGAACTTCATGAACACTTCTTTCCGTCTGGTCAAACTGGCCGTTACTATAACTTATCATCATCAATGATGGTGTAGATTATGCTTCCATATTGTATCACCCTTGCTACAGAAACTGATGTTATTTAATTTGAGAAATTTCTTGTAAACCTAGTCATTTTTCTAAAAAGAAACTACCAAGTACTAATATGGACAACACCATTTCATGGCATTGTACAGAGAAAGAACTACTACAACTGCCCTCTTAAAGCCAAGTGGAGGACAAATTGGTGACAGGAACTACATCTCTCTCATGCGTTGGATGCATGAGTATATACACATGTGACAAATCCACGATAGGTACCCATGGTTGCTTCATGAGTTAACAAGACATAAATGACACGTGTGGTGCTATGCCTGTGTGGGTGTGGGAGAGGCCGAGAGGAGGGACGTTGGGGTGGGGGGTTGTTAGATTTTGGAATAGATGACGACAATGGCCTTTTTGGTCTGTGCCGAGTGAAACTAACACAATCTTTTTGGCCTGCTAGGCGCGAAAGCAAAATGAGCTATGTGAAAAAAGAAGAAATAAAGGGAAGCGGTGTGAAAAAAGGACAAGAGATCGATGGCTACCCTTATAAAAGTAGTGGTGCCACTGTGTTTTTGTGGTGGAAATTTGCAATTTTCATAACGGTGAATGGAGTATTTCAAAAAAAACAAATTTTAATCTCCTGTACAACTAAAAAGAACAAAGTGTGGACATTTTTTGGTGCGACATTTGTTTTGGTTCGTCCGTCTGCCCACGCCTGCGATCCCACGACATCTTAATTACTGATTGATCATGTCATTTTGCTTGATTGAATATTACCTGTCATGTGATAGAGGAATCACGGCAAAATAGGAAGTAGAAAATTATTGTGCTATTCATATACACATTGTATGTTTGCATGCATCAGCATACATGGCAACGAGCAAAAGGAAAGAGAATTAACACAGAAGGAAAGAGAATTAAGGCAAAAAAGAACCTCTTTGCATTTCTAAGAACCTTGCCAAATCTGCATACATTTAATTACTTCCTCTCTTTGCATTTGCAAAAAGGACAGCTTTTTCCTCCTTTCATTTGGTTTCACGCTCACGTGTTCCATCGCCCTCGCTTGCTGTTTCTTATGTGAACCATAGTTGATGTCATCTGTCTTCTATGGCCCAGCCTCCCAATCCCAAGAGAAGATCCCTACCTCTCCCTGACTGGAGATCCGGCCTACCAGAGGATCTCCTCGAGTCCATCGGGCAGCATCTCGCGTTAGGCCACGACGCGGCGTCCTTCCGATCCGCTTGCTCCCCATGGCGCGCCGCTGTCCTGTTCGCGACCTTCGGGCCGCTCCTGCTGCTCCCGTTCGACCCTGACTCAGACCGCGTCGGCTTCTACTGCGTCTCGGAGAAGATCTTGTCCAAGATGCTGCCCGACGTGTGCGGCAAGGTGGCGTGCAACTCCTTGTGTGGGTGGCTGGCGCTCATAGACGAGGCGGTGTCCGTGACGCTGTTGAATCCATTCGCCGGTGCCCGTGCCCCCCGCGTTGAGCTCCCGCCAGCAGGCGAACACGTCGCGGTGGCGTCCTCATCGAAACGCGTGTCTAGGGTCCACGACCGGTGGGTCCTCCATCCCACCAACGGCTACGGGGACACGGATGCCGTAGGCAGAGCCATCAAGGTAGAAGACATGAGGGACGTGTTCTTCCGTGAAATCGTGCTCTCGGCTCCGCCTGACGCCGCCGACTGCGAGTGCGTGGCCATGGCCATGCTTGGGTGCTCCACGGAGGTCGCGTTCTGTCAGGTTGGAGTCGACAGCGCATGGATGCTGCTCGACACAAAACTAGAGTTCTCCGTGGGGTCCATCGTCCACTGCCAAGACAAGTTCTTGGCGATCGACTGCACTGGAGAAATCTCCGTCTACAGCAGCAACGCCGCCGGCGCTACTCCAACCGCGACGATGCTGCCATCGCTGTCGCCACCTGCGGGTCTTTGCCACCGCAGCTACCTGGAATCAAACGGTGAGCTGCACATTGTGGGTGCCATGGTGAGCACATTCCACGAGACACAGAGCTTCACCTACAACAGCGCGATCTATAAGTGCAACCTCCACGACTGTACACCGGAGTGGTCCAGGGTGAGGGACATCGGTGATCAGACACTGTTCGTGTCTAAACATTTTAATGAAAGCTTCAGTGGAACAAGTGTATCCAAGTACAAGGAGAACACAATTTACATGTCTGAGCCATTGTATGGGGATCCATACGACTTGGTCCATCGACCGGAGATCGTTGATATTACTACCGGTGCATCCGAAGTGAAGCCCGTCCAGAAAAAGATGCAGGGTTCCGAGGCTCTAGGTTGGATTCGACCCAATCTCTGGAAGCTCTAGAGTTTGTGAGCCTGCGACGCCGCATACTCCGTGACTGTGTTAAATTCATAAACTTTTCTTTTTGGATTAAATGTCACTTTAACGTTGGTATTTAATTTAACAGTATTGTTATCTTATCGTACGATCCGTGTGTTTTTAGTATAAATTATTAGTTATCCCGTAGCAACGCATTTTATTAACGCTACCTGGTGAAGGGTATATGGAGCACCTTCATTTTTGTGAGGGTTTTTAAGCGCCTCCACAAAAAAAACCATGACAGTATGTTCATCATTTTCATGAAAATATACCACTCTCACAAAATCTCTATTTTGTGATAGTGATGCTACACGTGACTGTAGATGATATGCATGGTTACCATCACAAATTAAATCGTGGGTTCGTCTAGATAATCTAATCTGCACACTTTATCCACAAACATACTATTGCCATGCATGATAAGGCTCCGTGCCTCCGTTCATCCAGATTCTCTAGGGTTACTACAAACATGGAAATAGATTAATGCTAAGAAAGTTAAAAGTTTTTGGGAATTTTTTAATTAAACTGTTAAAGAACAAAAGCGATATTCATTTTTCCTTAGGAAGGACAAGTATTATTCAGCTATAATTCTCTCGCGGGCTACGGGCTACATTCCATTTAGCCAGCCCAATCCACATCACCGGCCCACTATTCATCTCTTCCGGTGGTCGTCGAACTCGTCGTCTTCCGTCCATCCCATCCTCGGCGGCGGCGGCGGAGACAGAGCAAGAGATGACGTCCTCGGGGACGGCCGCGCAGCAGCTGCCGCGGACGGAGGCGCGGTCGCTGTCGGGTCACGAGGGGGCGGTGCTGGCCGTGCGGTTCAACCGGGACGGCAACTACTGCCTGAGCTGCGGCAAGGACCGCACGCTCCGCCTCTGGAACCCTCACACCGGCGCCCTCGTCAAGACCTACAAGTCCCACGCCCGCGAGGTCCGCGATGTGCACTCTTCCTCGTACGTACGCACGGCCCTCCCTCACCCCCCCCGTTCTCCATCTTGTTGTCCCCCTTCGTTGCGTCGCATCTGATCCGAAGACGCGGCAACGGAAAATTCGCCAAGTGCTTCTTGCTGTTCATTGGTTTCATGGCTTGCTTCTGGGCAGGGATAACGCGAAACTGGTGTCCTGCGGCGCCGACAGACAGATCTTCTATTGGGACGTCGCCTCGGCCCGCGTCATCCGCAAGTTCCGCGGTCACAACAGCGAGGTAATGCATTAGATCAATTGATGTTTTTTTTTTCCGTTATTTATGGAGTTTTCATCCCTGTCTTCTGATGGCCACGACAGAATGTGATTGTTCTCGAAGCTGAGCAGTTTACACAATTCTAATCAAGTAGTTCCGTGCTCATTGTGTGGGTTATAGTGCTTCTATTATTTGTGCCGTACAATTCTTGTTTGTTGCTCTGAACACTGGTGAACGCTACCTGAAGAACACCACTGACAATAGCGTATCGTTCCCATTGCTGTGATACCAGCTCCATCCAAAGCAGTGCTCTGAACCATACCTCTGGTGGCTGTACTCTTGTGTTTTTATCTGATAGTTCCACTTGCATTTAGCAGTTGGCATTGCACACTGTGATTCAACTATGTGATTATGGTCAGGCGTGTGATAGATTTGTAATTTTTGAGCTCAGCCATCTTTATTCTGCTCTCGATAGGTCAATTCAGTGAAGTTTAATGAGTACAACGCTGTTGTAGTCTCAGCTGGTTATGACCGTACGGTGCGTGCATTTGACTGCAGGTCACAAAGCAGCGACCCTATTCAGGTAGTTTTACATTGTCACCTATAATACATAGATGCATCATGTTTTGTTATATTTCCTTTTCTTGATGTCTTATACACTTTCTTTCTATTCTATCATGTTGCAGACAATTGATACTTTTCAAGATAGTGTAATGTCAGTTAACCTAACAAAGACAGAAATAATTGCTGGCAGTGTTGATGGTACTGTCCGGGCATTTGACATTCGCATGGGTAGGTAGGTGATGCCTTATTCTATTATGAATTATATCTGACATGTACTTTTTGGTTTACTAAATGGAACTTTGATTGTTCCCTCTTTTTTTAAGGAAGTACTTCGAATCCTAATCCACTTACTCCTATGAATTGTTTCTGTATGGTTTGTTGATTCATTTCCCTCTTGCTTATAACAGGGAGACTGTTGATAATCTGGGGCATCCTGTGAACTGTGTATCATTATCAAATGACAGCAATTGCCTTTTAGCTAACTGTTTAGATTCTACTGTGCGGCTTCTAGACAAGTAAGTGCTATTTACAAGCTGCTCAGTATTTTGTTTTCAGCCTGGGCACAACATTGCAGGGAAGCCTCTTTTATCTAGCATTTTGGAGCAATTAAATCCCATTACTCAAGTATGGGGTTATTATTATTATTATTCTCCTCTACTTTATAGAAGGATGCAGTCACACTCTTCCTTTAGCTTTGGTTGGAAAGATGATATGGTTATCAATGATGACAATATGGACTGAAGAAATTCCTCATCTTGACATAGCTGCCAATCTCATTACCATCTTGAATGGATTTATCAAAGCAAATTTTCTCCTTAACTCTTAGTCCCTGATTCATCACTGGCCTATTGTCTTTGCCATAACATCACACATGGAAACTCTTTTGGTCCAAATATATCCAATCACTGGGTTCCAGAGCTGCACTAAGCTGCTGTTGGTGCCATGGAGGTGCTTTACACTTGCACTTGCAAGCTCCTCATGTCTCTCAAGCAATATATTTGAGAATTGTAGTGCAAGATTCAGGCTGGTTTCATGTTTCTTTTACATATACATTAGAAAGCTTTAAGTTAACTTGGTATTGAAACATGTACTCTCTTGGGTAGCTAGCAAGTTAAATGGACCATTTTTCTTGGTCTCTGCAACAAATCACATGCTAATATTTACTTTGTGTGTTCCTGTGCATCAGAAGATCATCATGCTTGAATTCCAATGCCATTGCAATCAGGAGCCATGTCTTCATGTTTTGGTCCACATAACTACCAAGAACGATTTTCTTGTGCTTTGAGAGTCCGCATTATGATGGCCCCATTGCCCATTCATCATTGACATCTGCTGCTGTCTAGGGAGGAAAGGAATAAATGATATTAGGATCATAAGTGGTGGTTTTCATCTTTGTTATTTCCATAGCAAGTTTAGGAGTGCATCACTAACTATGAATGTAAAGTAGCTTTCAAAAAAAACTATGAATGTGAATTATGTGTGGTACAATTTCTCGTCATATTATCTTCCATCATGATACGGACAGAGGTGGTGATTTTTCCGTTCTGTTGAGTAGATTGGTGCCATCTCTTCAATGTACTAAATAGAGGGGCATCATACACAAAATATTAAACTTTTGATGTCTGTTGCGTTTATTAGGTCATCTGGAGAACTGTTACAGGAGTATAAGGGACATACGTGCAAGGTATCTCTTCAATAATCTTCATTTGTGATACTGCCAAAGATTTGGTACTTATGGATACTTACATTGATTTCAACTTAATCTGACAAGTTTCACATAAGAATGGAGGAAATGTATACAGTTGTGTAAAATAGTGAACCACGACGCCTCATTAAATTTGTAGTGGATGAAGTAGAGAAACGCTACTAGTCTGCTTAATTCATTAAAAGGAGAGCAGAGGGCTTGCTTTAGAGCTGAAAAACCTAAATATACCATTATGATTCAATGATGCAAGGGTTTGCAGAAGAAACAGTAATCCTATTCGTTTGCATTGTTTAATTTCTGATTTATAATATTCCAGTCCTTCAAGAAAAAACAGTAATCCTATTCGTTTGCATTGTTTAATTTCTGATTTATAATATTTCCAGTCCTTCAAGATGGATTCCTGTCTGACGAATGATGATGCATTTGTTGTTGGCGGATCTGAAGATGGTTATATTTTCTTCTGGGAGTTAGTGGATGCACCTGTTGTTGCAAGATTCAGGGCACATAGTTCTGTGGTATTTTCCTTTCCAGAATTGCACCTTATGCTGTGCAACAACTTAACATACATGTACCTAACACTGTTTCTTTTGGCAGGTAACTAGCATCAGTTACCACCCAACGAAGGCCTGCATGTTGACATCTTCTGTGGATGGCTCTATTCGTGTTTGGACCTGAAGACTCTTGAATGGTTGATGTGATATCTGTACCATTCCTCCAAATCATCCAGTTATCTAGCAGCAAGGATTTAACAGCATGAAAGATGAATGCAATGTCTAACCTAATGGGATTCATACACGCCTTATTTGCTGTGACGTTGAGAGAAGAAAATGCGCTACTGTTGGGTTGGGTAGCACGCAGCTCTGAGGCCAAAATCTTTTGAAGCCGGTATTCTGTCATTTACACAGTTTTTAAGCCTTTTAGATGATCGAATTATACCTGAAGACAACTTGTGAGTTGCATGAAAGGTAACACTTGTTACGAATTTTCACTGCAAGTGTCTTGTCTCCATATTACTGAAGACAACTTATTGGGGGTTTGAGACATGCGGTGGTGAATCATCTTTTAGCTCTTTTTTTTTTTTTGGTTTGGACTGGAATGACTAATGAGTTGATCGCCACCCCCCTTCATATTCTCACAAGCTAATAATAATTAGCATATATATAAGCACAATAAAAGGAGTTGTTCACCAAAATTAATGGGATGAACTTATGCCGAACCAATCACCTCAATTACTGCTTTGCTCTTGTTAGCAGTATATGGTAGTCGTGCTTGAACTGGGGCATAAAAGAACATAACTATTAGATGAAGAAAGAAAAATAAAATTAGTTTGGTCTATGTTCTCATGTCAGGCAGGGTCATACAATTATACTATTCAGCATGTTCGCTTGTTGGTTTCAGTCAGGGCTTATCAGCCAGTCAACAGTGTTTTCCTCTCACAACAAACCAGCACCAGGCGGACTTATTAGTCCAGAAACTAACCAGCGAACATGCTGATTGTATTGAGCACAAGCCAAAATCTTGAAATTGAATACTCTTGATTGCACTATTGTACTGAGCACCAACCAAAATATCAAAATTGAATACTCTTGCTTGAGGCAGGAGTGCAGGCCATGAGATACATCATCCTCTATAAGTTTGAGAGCATTGTCCATGGTTCCAGACTACAGCGGCAGTTTTCACCATTTCACCGTGCTAGCTGCTCTACAGACTGTAGAGCGAAAGTGCATGCGCATGATAGGCTTGAGAGCCACCAGAAATTCAGATATATATAAAATGGTCTTAGCTTGCTCGGTAAATGGATAAAAGGGATCAGGCTTGACATTGGCTTAGGTGCCATCAAAGGTGCATGGATAAAAGAGATTACCACTTAGAGATGAATGTCTAAATTGTTATAGACATTTGGTGGATGTTGCTTTGTTGTGTGTGACAAAATCATTGAAACAAATTGTTGTGTTGTTCCAACCTGCATGATTGTTTCAGTTTTTGTTAATTGCAGTATGGTAACTCACTGACATGTGAAACTTCTGAACTTTACCCTTTTTCCAGAAATTGTGTGGACCTTTGCATTTTTTACAATCAAAAGCATTTCACATCTTTCATTTTTAACAAACAAAAGCATTTTTAATCAAATATCTTGATGACATACTAGTGAGGGCCTAGGGGTGCTTAGCCTTATCAGCTGGACATGCAGTGGGTGCTTAATGTGTTTGGTTTGAGGAGCCACTCCATCCTAGATAATAAGGTGATGCATTGTGAGTCCATTCCTCAAATTTGGTGTGATGTCTCCATTCCCCCTACCAGTACTAATTATTAGCTTGTGAAGAATGAGGTGATGATGTATCAACCTATTCTATTCCATAAACCAAACAAAAAAAAAAGGAATAAGTAAATGATGGACTAACTCATTCCTGAAACCAAAACCCTATAATTTTCTCAACTAGGCATATTCTATTCCATGAACCAAATAAAAAAAAAAGTGAGGAATAAGTAGATAATGGGCTAATTCATTCCTCAAACCAAACACCCTATAATTTCCTCTACTAGGCATGTACCATGTATCATGCAATAGGATATAGATGAGTGATGTTTTTTTTGAGGAAATAGATGGGTGATGTTCAATGTGTAGAGTTTGGTAAAAGAAGTTTAACATGCATTCATCATAGGTTGACCACCGATATTCTTCTTAGGATCACTACCAAGCAACAGTATTCTATAAATATACCATTTACTCCCTTTATCCCAAAATAACTGCACATCATGAACGGAACATAGGAGCAGCAACAGGGGCGCTCCGACTCTGACCCGCCCCCTTTTAGGCCGGCCTACTTGGGTGCGATCAAATGCGAGGAGGGTTAATTTAGTCCGACATGGAACATGTACCGGCATATTTTTGCCTGCTGGAGTCTGATCATAAAGAAAAGGACAGCCTGGACAAGATGTTAGTTCAGAAATCCAGCATCAATCGGAAATATTTTCCTTCCGTAGCCACAGAAGCACGTGAAGTTTTATACGGAGATTTATTTGGCCGAGGCATTGCTTTGGTCAAGTTGGTGCGTTGGAAAATATTTGGACGTGGCCATGACAGATTCCTTTTCAATGTAGATTTGCTTTGTCAAGGACCAGACACCGTATGTATACGAAGGGCAAAGACCCATTGACGACGCACAATCACACAAACAAATCTATTACATTATTTCGCATCTACTATTTTCTCTCTTATCTAGTTTTTACTTGTTCTTCCTTGCCGGCTACTTCGTTGCGACAGCGAGCACAAGGTTCTTGTCGGGCTCGCTCCCGACAAGACTCTCCTTGCGACATGTCTTGTGCATCGCGCTCATCGCCGAGGACACACGTGACATGTTCGTGTGTGATCAGAAGCATTCTCATGTCTCTGGCCCCATCTGTCATCGACGTTACAAACTTTGTGAATGTGGACACAGGTGGTGCATGGCTGTCGTTAGCTCGTGCCATGAGGTGTTGGGTTAAGTCTCGCAATAAACACAACCCTCGTGTTTAGTTGCCACTATGAGTTTGGAACCCTGAATAGACCCCTGGTGTTAAGCTGGAGGAAAAAGAGGATGAGGCCAAGTCATCATGCCTCTTATGCCTTGAGCGACACGCGTGCTACAATGGGCAGAACAAAATGTCGCTATCTCGTGAGGGTGAGCTAACTCCAGAAACCTTGCCAGTTGTGACTTCCGGATGAAGGCCACATGCCAGAGCTTTTATTCCCAGTAGGTAGGCTTTTCCCCGGAATGGTTTATATATAGACATGGAGAAATGTAGGCAGGCTCGATTTGAATAAGTGAAATAAACACATCAGAGCTTTTATTCCTAGTGCTAGCAGGTAGGCTGGCTTGCTTAGTTTTCTTTCCCCAGAATGGTCTATGTAGAGGCATGGACAAATATATAGGCAGTGCCCCGCTTTGAAAAGTGAAATAAATTTCATCGGAAAGCATTGTATTCAGTTTTAAATGTGATCTAGATCCAAAGTTTTCAACAGAACATCACGAATCGTAGTTGAAACAAGTAGTTATAATAAATATTAATTGAAATAGAGTCTCAGTAGGAAAACAAGTTTAGATAAATCAAAATATTATATTCTAATTGTGTTTCGTGTGATTTTGTAGTCCATAAAATATCAAAAATGTATACGACAAAAAATTTATCGTATCTTTCTAAAACAAATATAGTTTATTAAATTTTATATATTAAGTTAAAAAATTGTTTGTGCTGTTTTTTTTTGGGGGGCGCATGGCCCCTCCCGATGCCTTGCTCTGCCCCTGCTTCCCACCATGTTCGCTTATGCTGAAATTTGGCTTATGCTGATGTTTATGCTAAAATATTGTGAGAGAAAAATATTGTTTCATGGCTGAAAAATAGCTCAAGGGAACTGTATACCTCATTAGTGTTAGCCTGTTAGAGAACTGTATAATTGATTAGTGTTAGCAAGTTGCTTGTTAGGGAACTGGATAACTCATTAGTGTTTGCAAGTGGGTCTTTAAGAACAACGACAGATGGAGATTTCATTTCACTTGAATTTTTTAGTATGACATTGTAAGAAAACTCCATCAATCGTTTGTCTCTCCAAGGATTGGCTCATTGTAAAAACTTTTCAATTCTTTTACAATCACTACTACACTCGCACCTTTCACAGCCACGTCGTAACCCCTATCGCTGTCTGCAGTGATAGTCATAGCCATCGCCGTCGCTATCTGAGACCGACTGGGATGTTCACTGCACCGCCGTTTTGGCTTATCATCCGCCCGTGATAAGGTGCTTACTTCCGTCGCATTGGAGCACGGCTCACCTGTGTGGGTATGCACACACCGCCTCATGGCTTATGATCCATCCATGATCAGATCCTTATTCCATCGCATTGAGGCCCGACCCGCCTATATAGGTGTACACTAACACCGCTGTGTTGGCTTATGATCCATCCATGATCAAGTCCTTGTTTCCGTCGCATTGGGCGAACATCACTGTCGCTTCAACGAATGAACCGCCTGGTCATAGGGCATCATCACCGTCGCGTTGCAGTACGATCCGCCCGTGATGATCCTTTAGTTGGTGTCGGATTATTAAACAATTCGACGGTGATACACTATTGACCCCTGCCGCATCAAACAAATAGCAGCAGTGATGACAAAACAACCAACGGCCCGTACATCCGACGATGGCAGAATTGCTTTCGGTTTTCACAATGTATTTACTAATTCAGATGGGCCTTAATAACTTACTGAACACACACCATACAGATATAATCATTACACATCATTCATCATGTCCACAACGAAGAGTACTTGTTATAATAACAATGGTCGACACTAACATAATGTCGGGGACCAATATTAGGGTACCCAAAGAGGTTGAGCTAATAACCATCAACGTTGATTCATCCAAATTGTCAAGAGCGCGACTACACCTCTTGCTGGGCCCTGCCTCGTCTGACCACCGAGGCCATGTGCTCCGCCTCGTCCAACCCCTGAGGACTGGCTCCGCTTCGATGGACACTGAGGCGGCGGGCTCCGCCTCGTCCGACCCCCGAGGGTCGGCTCCACCTCGGCTGACTTCCAAGGGTTGGCTCCATCTTGTCCGATCCCCAAGGGTTGGCTCTGCCTCGCCCGACGTCTGAGGGCAGGCTTCGCCTCGCCTGACGTCTGAAGGTCGGCTCT